TGGACCACAACAACAACAACAAATAAACTATAATGTTAAACATAGTAAAACTAGAGTTGTAGTTGAACAAGCTTTTGGACGTTTAAAAGCAAGGTTTTTATTTTTAAAAGAAATGAGAGTTAGAAATCTATCAAAAGGAGTAGAACTTATTGATACTGCATTAATTTTACATAATTTTATAGAAAAATATAGAGATACATGGGGTCAATTAGATGATGATGATCAAATTGAAATTCAACCAGAAGAAGATTTATTATAAAATATGTATGTAATTATATCATAATCAAAATTACATATTATTTAAAAAAATTTTTTATTGTTGTTAATTGTATTGGAAGTATTTTAAATTTTTAAAATACAAAAAAAAACTTTCACACCTGAGCAAATCACAATAAAAAAAAATAAAGATAGAAAGAAGCAATGAAAAGTTTGATATCTCATGTAATTAGAATTAGCCTGTCTATTAATATTACTGACAATTGTAGTCTTTTAAAAAAATTCATGATGCTGAGACTTAAATATAACTATTGTTCTACTTGTAAAGAATATTTCCTTTCAGTTACTCTAAATAATCAAACTGGTGCTTGCAGTAGATGTAGTAGAGACAAATTGATTCAAAAGGTTTTTACCAAAGAATGATAAAGATCCAAGTATATAATAAAAATATATATTATTAATATATATTAGAGTTGCCTGCTTTATTTTTTTTAACAAGTTGTAATATTATAACCTATATGTCGTAATATTGCAACCTATATGTCGTAAAGGTTGTAATTAATTACAGCAGGCAACTCTAATATATATTGAAATATATATTTGCAAATTTAATAAATATTTTATTTTTAAAAGTACCTCAGCTTAGCCAAGTTAAGAAAATGTTAACTGTCTTTAATTTCAAGATATTCAAGAATGTTTTACAAATTTATCTCAGATCTGTCTGGCCGCAATTAATACTTTAGTAATTCAATAAACTGAACAAAATTGTACTATATTTTATAACTTTAGAGTCAAACATATGAACAGCTCAATATGTCTTGCTTGGGCAATTACAATTCATAAGTCACAAGATTTAACATTGCCACAAACCATAATAAATCTTGGAAATAAGGAATTTGCAACAGGTTTTATATTTGTATGAATATCAAGAGTTTATGATATACTTTTCAATACTGCCTTTTTTTGACAGATTACAAAATTAGGATAAAAATATGTAATTACAACAAAGACTAATAGAAGAACAAAGGTTGCTTTCTTTATAAATTT